CCACGCATGGCTCTGGCAGCCCAGCGCTGATGCAGTTCTCGGCACTGCCGGCAGCTGCGTGTGGTCGTGAGGAGTTCCTTGAGCCGGTAATGGCCTCTGTATAAAGTGAATTTTATCACTTGGTAGTAATTAAGGTAGGAATTGGAGGGTGCAGCCTGGGGATTTGGTTGGCGGCATCGCTGGCCTTTCTGAAACCAGGAGGAAGGAGGCGCCTCGTGGCAGAACAGCGCTGCTGACATTTCCTACACGGTTTTTTCACGTCAAAGGCTGTGGCTCTAATCTGAAATGCAGATGAGCATTTATTACAAGCCAGCCTCTAGGCTTAACCCTTATAGCAAGAAAACAAAATCTTACAGGAACGGGTGCACCCCCACGTGCGTGAAAAATCCAAGTGCCTTCCACTCTCATGTGCAACACTTGTAGGGGCTGAACCCATTTCCACACACCCTGCCCTTGGGTTTACCTTGAGTTTTGCTTCTGCAACAGCCTACAGAGACAGTTCCCTCACCCCGGCTCTCCCCTCCCCGTTCTGTTTCAGGGCTCCGTATAATGTCAGGCAAAAATCCGTGGACTTGGATGAGGAGGACGTGCCTTTTAGCGCAGACGAACATAAAAAGAGGTATGCCCTCCAGGTAACCACCTTCTTCTGGCAGGGGCACTGACAAGTGGACTTCACTTCAGCTTAACTGGTCATTACTGGGAGGGTCAGTTCGATGACGACCCATTAGGGTTGATTGCAGTAAAATAATAATAAGCAGATATTTCTATGCAGAGCGCATCCATGCCCCCCGGCGACTGCGCTCCCAACAAAATATAATTAAAAGCCTGACATGATTCAGCCTGACAGCATTCCCCAATTAATTTGGCAGCTGGAAATGGGCTCCGGAATCCATCGGCTACATAGTGTCTCTGTGAAAAGATAGAGACTACAAATAGCCTGGCAGGAAAGGGAGGAGCTCGCCTCCCGCAGCCAAGGGGTGCCTTTGAGCCTGGACCACTTGGGGACTTGCATCTAAGTCCAGATCCGGACGGGTTTCTCCTTCTCATACCAGGAGTGTTGTGTCTGGCTGGCAGGCCTGCAACTGCCACCGCCCGCGCACCTGCCACAGCCAGCGTCCTTGTTGCTTTCAGCTGAGTTTCTGAAGAGATTTCTCCTCAAATACAAAACTCTTGAGAATGCCAGCTTGGGAATTTGCCCGCTGGAGATGAGCCAGTAAAACTCCTTGCAGAGATCCTCCTTCTCCCTCGGTCCGTGTGCTGGGACCGATACAGACACGCACAGCCCATGCAGCACGTCAGCCACGACACCCGTGTCCTGGGGTTTTTGTCCCACTGTGTGCAATGCTGAAACAGTCCAGGTCTTGAGAAAAGGGGGAAGTCCCTCTGTCCTCCTGGAAGAGGAAAAGCGTTTTTTTTGTTATGGGATTTTGTTTTATTTGGGTTTTTTTGCATGAATGATACTAAAGAAAAAGACAATCCATTGTTACTCCTCTTGGCTCTGAGTGGATTTCAGCTCCCCAGAGCACGGGAGCTCTGTCGGAGTTAGCACAAGCCTCTGCTGGGTTGTTCACTTATTGTCTCTTCGAAGCTATAGCCAGCAGCCACTCAGAGCCTGGGCAGAATGTGACCCCTTCCCTCTTTTCTAGGACAGAGGCGGCCAACAGTGTCCTGCGACGCACTGCCAGCAGGGAACGGGCTTACGTCCTCTCGGCGGCCAAGAAAAGCAACGGGTGAGTCTTCAGCCTCCAGGTGTGGGGCAGAAGAGTGGGAAGAGACTCTTGAAATTGGTCTCACAGGGATGGTGGCCTGGCCTGAGATTCTCTGAAGGTGGCAGGTGCCTTTCCAGCGAGTGGAGAAGGTGTAGCTGCCATCTGTCAAGGGTATCTCCCGGTTTCTGCAGGACTGGAGAAATCCTCCAAGAGTCTTGGGATTGTCCTTGGTGAGAAATTTTGGGAAGAGAAAAGCCCTGATGGTCCCTAATTCCCTGAGGCCCACAGTCAAGACTTTAGTTTTGAGAATCAGTTCTTAATACTGCTCTCTCCAGTCTTGTTGCAACGAGGGGAAAAACAGAACAAACATAAACCTCATCCAGTGTGGATCAGTTTTTTGTGACAGTTTGCCTTTACGTCGTGTTTGAACTACAGCTGGATTTACAAGATTGGGATCTTAGCTGGAGCTTCAAAACAGTTCTGTGGGGAAAAAGAACCTAATGTGTGGGAGCTACGGGTGTTCAAGGCTCTGTTGTCCACCTCTTTGCCAGGAGGGGAAGAAAAGAAAAACCACATTTCCAAGGTCTCTGATCTCCCAGGAGCCACAATAGTGAATTTTTTTTGCAACTGGCTTTCACTATAAATCCTTTTCCTCTTGTTATAACTCAGGGTGACACAATGAGGCACCAGGAGGTTGCCAGTGCAGGAGGGAGCAGGGAGGGGATGCGCCAGCAGCACTCAGCTGTGCCCAGAGTGAGAGAAGTGCTTGGGCAGGGTTTGTAAGGACATTAAGGGTGTTTGCGCTGGCTCCTGAGCCTGCTGTGGTGTGGAGGGAGGCAGGTTTGTATGCAGGAAGAAAAACAGCCTTCAGGAAGGCGTAAAATTAAAAAGGCCCTTTGAGGAAGCTTCTTCACATAACTAGCTGCTATTCCTATTTTTATTTCCTCCGCTCTGTAATTTGCACGGGTTTAACACACCCAGGCGCTGTCAGCTCTGCCCAGATGGTGCTACCTGACCCCTTAATACCTTGCAGCATACGGGTCAATTATGGGTTAGAGGCTCTGCCCCTGCCCAAGGTGTGTCTTGACCTCCAAACTTCTAACTGTTGCCTTTATTCTTCCTTTGCAGCAGCCCAACGCAAGAATTCCTGCCGTTGTTTGCCAAGAGGTAGGTCATTGACCCTCGGGAGGTGCTGCCACGTGTCTGGGTGCTGTACCAGGGCTGCTGGTGGGTGCTGCGATAGGAGATTCCCCCTGCCAGTGTTTCAAAGCAGAGGAGAGACACTTCCCTCAGAAGGATGCTCTGGGCTGAATGACACTGGCTCCCGAGAGCCCCCAGCCTTGTAAACGCTCAGAATCCGGCGCTGGTGATGCTTTGCGTTATGGGCAACCTGAGACAAGGAGAGACTCCCTCACCTCAGGGAGCATGAGGAGCAGTAAAAATCTGCTGCTAGGGGAAAGAGAGGGGAAAACATGGCTTAAGGGAAAACAGGGAGAAACTGCCTGGCTTAGCTAGCAGGAAATAATGTGATATTTGACTCTCTCTTTGCCTTTTGAAAGAATTGAGATAGAAGAAGAGGAAGGCCAGCAGAGGAGGAGTCCAACCATGCCTGGCAGGTTTACACTGGATGACAACCACAGGTATTTACCTCATCCTGGAGCAGCGTGTTGGCTGTCTGTGATTTCAGGGCACACGCATTTGCCATCTGTGCAGACAGCCGCATTTATCTGCGAGGTGACACTACCCGAACCCAACTAGAGAGGGCCAGAGTGTCATAAAGTGCCCGACTGACAGCTCTGGGAGGTGACAAACTCCGTTTAACCACAGGCCAACTCTGCTGCGAGTTGTACGGTGTGAACCTGCCGCCCGGCCCCTCTCCTGATCCCGCTCCGCAGCCCAGCCAGTCCTGTCTTCACAAGGTGCTCGTGTGCCGCAGGAATGAGCCTGGAAAGACAACTCCAGGAGGAGTAGGGGCAGCCATCAGATAGTAACGATTTTCTTTTACCAGCAAACTTGGCTGCGTGAACTGACCCCATCACCTAGACATGAAATACTCGATATCTCATTATTTCCAGTCCCCTGAGCCAGCTCTCTGCCTTCGTTAGACTTTGAGATTTAATTATTCTGCTGTGATGGCGACAGATAGGTGTGACTGGAGAGGTTCGAGAGGTTCATTATCTTTAAATTGATCTCTGCTCTGATGGGAAATGTTCACCTTTTCTCAAGCCCCCAGCCCCTTTCACAGGCTGCTCCGAAGCCCAAATATACGCAAGAGCCGTACCGAGCTGTGACAGACCAGCCCAAGCATTCTCACACCCTGGTCGTCCCTGGTGTAAAGGGACAGCAATGACACCTTCCCTCAGCCCACACAGGTCAGGAGCAGTGGTGTGGGGCTGAGTGAGACCAGTCTGTGTGGAAATGTTTGCCCTAGGAGGGAGAATCCCTCCCCTGTTTCCACGCAGATTTGTTTAATTTGGGATTCAGCTCTCTGTTCCTGTGGTGATGGTGGCTTGGTGCCAGGCAGCAGCATTAGTAGCTTCTTTGCCACTCTGGTCCTTCGTGGGCCCAGCAGGGAGCCCAATAAATGGGGCCTTTCAGCTTGAAATGCTTTATTTTCAGGGTGAAGGAGCTGCCTCACGAAATTTTGGTAGTGGTTCTGCGCCGTTGTGCAGGTTTGAGGCAGGGCTGGGAAGCGATTGCCCCTCTTTCCTCACATGCACGCAGGGAAATCAATTTTTTTGAATGCGCTGAACTTTAATCCATTTGTTTGGGGGAAACTGATTTTTAGTGCACGCTCAAACCTCAGGAATGAATGCGCCAGCTGGGAAGCAGCTCCAGCTGTGCTAAGTAGGAAAAGCCAGTTTCTAAAGACTGAGTATTTTGGCAGAAAGGCAGAGACCAGTTATACGAGTGTAGGGGCAACTGCCCACGAGTCCTGGCGCAACAAGGTTTGGCCTCGCTGCCCGCGAAGCAGACACAGCAGCTGTGCACCAGAAGGCAGAATGTGTCCCCACAGGAGAAGGCACCTAAAAAATCTGCTGTCTTTTAATGCTTTGTTACCTCTTTTTCTTGTTTGTTTTTCCTTGTCAGTACTAACGGGCTACGAAAAACCACCACTTCCTGGAACGAGTCAAAGACAACAGCAGCGTCTTCCTCCAGGTGAGTCTTATAACACAGCCAGGATGTCTCGGACTCCCGGGAGGTGAAATGAAGCAACTTTGCCAGCCTGGTACATGGGAGATTTTTCTTACATGCAGGCAGCTGTTTTAAAAAAGATTTGGTGTCTGATTTCCACATTATATCCCGCAAGAATCTGACAACATTCTGATAGAAGTGCTCAAAACCTGAAGGAAAAACAACCAAACTGGCTGAACTACTACAAATATGTGTAGGGGAATAATTTTCAGTTGCTTCTGACTTTGATTGAATTTGTACAAAAAGTATAAAAAGTGCTGAAATGGTTTTCCGCAGCCCTGCAAATGGTGCTTTGGCTACTGACCTTGTTCTTTTTATTCTTTGTGTATCCCTGGCAGAAAGTAGGTATGTCTGGCAGTATCAGTGTTTTTAAGTTAAAAACCTGCTTCTGGTGGGATGACTGTGTACGTGAACATATTGAAGAACGGCGTCATTTGTTTTCCACTTTATTTATTCACAGAAGGGAACACCTCCACGCAGGAAAATTTCAGCCAGCTGCAGCGGGGAGCTGATTTGTTCAGCAATGACAGCTTTTGTCTTTGCCTTCTTTTGCAGCCCTGAAACAGGCAAGAAGAGCCAAACCACCACAACCTGGAGCGAGACTTCTGTTAGAATCTCCACTACTACCGAAATCAGGTAGGTCTGCTGGCCCTGCTTCGTCCTAGAGCTCCTCTCAGGACAGCAAGGGGCACGCTGCGCTGGAGGCTTTGGCTCTCTTGGCTCTATTTTCCCAGATACTCGATAGTTGTGGACACAGCGTGGTGGTGGAACAATAAATACTGTAGCACAAGGAAGCTAAGAAAGCAGCACTTTACAAAAGTGTCGGCAATCTGGGAGGAAATTGGCCCAGCTGGAAGCCGTGAGCCTCCCGCAGCTTGAAGGTTACTTAGTTCTTTACGATGAGAATGTGAAGCCCAAAACTGCAGACCTTTTTTATCTCCTGAACCCATCGGGCTTTCATTTAAATCCAGTCCCTGCGCTGTACGTAGCATGCGTCCAACAAGCCATCCAGGTCCTGCGCCTCACGTCGTGCCCCCTCATCTCCCTACCTCATCCTTTTGCTGTTTTTCTTGCAGAAATGGTGAGAGCAGACAGGCCCCGAGTGGGAAACCCTCATCTGAAACTGTGTCACAGCTTGAGGACGGGTAAGAAGTTGAGAAAGGCTGATGTGTGCACTACGGCGTAACCCTGCTTTTTGCTCAGAAATAGTATATACCTGCTAGTGGTCTCCAACAGATGGGATCTCTCTGCTCCTGGGCTGCACTCCAAGAGCATCATCTGCTGGCTAAGCTGCAACTTGTCAATTTTCTCTGCTCTTCCTTCACCTCCCTCAAGGATTCTCCTCACTGGCACAGTCCCTGAAGAGTCTATTTCATGTGTTTATTTTTAATTCACTGCTCCAATTGCCCTCCCACTGCTGTACCCAGGGGAGCTTCCTCCACCTACAAGGGACATGCAGAACCTCAGTTGCTGGTGGCTCCCACTAACATCGGGTCTGGTCCTCTGCTCCCTGTAGAAAGCCTGAAGGGGTGGCTGAGCAGTGGGGAAGTGTAAAAAGCTTCTGTTGTATGAAGGAAAAACCTAAGGAAGAGCTGATTAGGAACCTAAAGGTGTGAGTACAGGTGCTGGACGTGCTGAGGGGCAGAGCCTGTGTGGCTGCACAGGTGTGACAGGGAACTTGGAGGGAAGCTTCTGGCCCTCCTGAGAGAGACATCACTCCCTCCTTGTACACTTACGTCCTTCTCCTCTGCACTGTACACAGGTTTTCAGCATACACCCCGTATTAGCAGAGCTCTTTTTATTCTTGGTGTTAGCACCCTGAGTTTTGGGCTGAAGGAGGCAGAGTTGGACGCATGGTCTCACCTTTGGCTCTGTTGTGCTTAAGCAGCTGCAGAAGGCTTGGATCCCCCAAATGAACTTCTGTAGCACGTACAGTTAATTGCAACTCACTCTCCACCTCTATCAGTGAATAGAAAACTAGAAATGTCCCCAAACCAATATCACAGGTTGAAGTAAACTCTTAGAAGGGCTTGAGAAAAAGGTAGAGGCTGGGCTACTGTCACGATCGTTCAGCTGAGGCCCATAAATAAATCCTTGTGTGTCACTGCAGGGACAGCCCGATTACAACACGCCCATTGTGCTCGGGGTCGTCTGGGTCACGGAGCTGCTCCTAATTGTGAGTCAGTCTCCCAGAGAAATTAGAGGATGCCTCATTACTTAAGCCACCTAAAACTGCAGCGAGAGTAATTGGTGGGGAAGGAAGGAGACAGCTTGATGGGTCTGGGGGAGTGAGAGATGGGCTTAGGGTCCAGCTGGAGGACCTGTAGTAAGGCCTTTCTGGCCCACGAGTAGAGGCAACAGCTGTTGTAGGGAACTTAGATTCACCTGAGCAGAGGCGAGCAGCACCTGAACAGGCCTGTGGTACTCCGAGATCTGCCCCCTCCTGTCCTAACACAGTGAATTAGCCCCGTTTCGTGCTCCTCCTAACGACCCGTTAGCAGGCTGCTGCAGGATGATGCTGTTGGGTCATCTCTCGTTGACGTTTTCCTTTTTCTAGTGACAGACCTCCGAAGGAGAAGCCTGAGCCCTTTCTCCTAACGACGCGTTAGCAGGCTGCTGCAGGGTGATGCTGTTGGGTCATCTCTCGTTGCCATTTTCCTCTTTCTAGTGACAGACCTCCGAAGGAAAAGCCTGAGCCCTTTCCATGGGATGAACTGGCCCCTAAAGCAACCTTGGTTACCACGAACGGAAGGTAGAGCTCACGTGAAGTCCCTTTATTGACCTGAGCGTTGTGCAAATTGTGCGTTAGCAGGCTGCTGCAGGGTGATGCTGTTGGGTCATCTCTCGTTGCCATTTTCCTCTTTCTAGTGACAGACCTCCGAAGGAAAAGCCTGAGCCCTTTCCATGGGATGAACTGGCCCCTAAAGCAACCTTGGTTACCACGAACGGAAGGTAGAGCTCACGTGAAGTCCCTTTATTGACCTGAGCGTTGTGCAAATTGTAAACTGCTGCTCTTGAGCTGCAGGGACACTCTGAATGGGTATTTGCTGATGGAAAAACTCGGTTCGGTCTGTGCTTGGCACAACTGCAGCAGTTTCTCTAAAATTCTGTTTAAGAAAGGGGAGAGGGAAGAAAACACTGCCCTCTTCAACAGCCTGGAAACAAGAGAACAGAAATCTGGGATGGAGACACCTGAAGCTCCCCGTTTTGTCAGCTCCCCTGAGACAAGCCAAAGGGTGCCAGGGCCGCTCCTTCCCTTCTGTGCGGGCAGATGGAGGAGCCTGAGCTGCAGCTGGGGGCGGAAGGACATCCCGCTGGTTTTGGAGGAGTCCTGGCTTGGATTTCCAGATGAGTCCGTACCACTAGCATCTGTCATGGGCTGATGGTGCTCAGAGTTACTAACTGCTCCTTTGTACTTCACACGTGCTGAGTCTCCCTGAAGTTTTATGCTGTTTTACCCGTAGAGACAGACTGAGGAACATCTCTGGGAAATTTTAGGGATTTCCTCCTCTTTTATTAAATGTGTAAGAAAATAATTGTAGACCATTACCCAAACCAAACGCTTTCTAAAGTTGGTGTCTCTCCTTTTCAGTTATCCTGAACACACAGAAACCAACAATGGATTTTACCCAACAAAGTGAGTGTAAACTTATTAAGAGTGTAAAATTAACTTTTTTGTGATTTTATAGCGAGAGAGACCTTTTCCTGACCTTGTGCTGCCCTAGCAAAAGTGTTGTAGGAGCAGCAGGAGTGCACCTGATCCAAAATGGACCGAGATCTTTCACCCTCTCCCCTTGCCGTAGCGCGAGCTGGTTGGATTTCTGTCTCTGCCCTTCAGGGCTGCTGCACAGAATTCTCTGAGCTAAGCAGGAAGGAGGAAAAGATGTTATGTTTGAGACAGGAAAACATCACGTTTGGCTTTTATTTTTTCTTTTTGCTCCTTGCTCTGTTCTCCAGCTTGCTAAGCTTCCTTCTGTGCCCCAGGGAACTCCCTCTCTAACCAAGTCCAACTCTGGTTGCAGGGACAGACCTGCGGATGCTACGGACAAGCTGCACCATCGGTACGAGGCCTCTTCCTCGCTGGATGATGCAAAGTCTGAACCTGCAAGGTCAGAGCCTGGGGCTGGTGCTTGTGATGCTGCTCACAGGGGACAGATGTTGGGTGGGAGAACAAGTAACTCATCCAGAGCAGAGCTGGAAGCAGAATCCAAATGGGACAACAAAAGCAAGGGGAGGCAGAAAACCCTTCATGGCTGAACACTGGGAATGACATTCTTTCCGTTCTCTGTTGGACACCAATTTCCTCCTGCAGAAGCAGCCTGGGACCAGGTAGAGCAGCTTCATCATTGCTTTTAACATTGATCTCAAAAATGTCACAGTTCCACGTGCTCTCTAGAGCGTGCTTGCTCCCTTGACAATGTCAGAGGTGCCAAATCAGGAAAGAATTGCTGCAGTTGACAGCAAACATGCTAATCTCCCTAAAGCTGCTTTCTTTGTTTGCTGTAGTCCGTTATTTTGGAACCTGACTCCAAGTATTGGCTTACCAAAGCACTTGAGGTGAGAAAATGTCATCTTGAAACCTCCCAGTTGAGGTGAGGAGCAGCATCACAACTAGGATGGTGTAAAGCCCAAGACCTGGAGCTGCTGCTAGTAATGTGGAAACGTCTTCCCCGAAGGCGTTCATGTTGTGCTTTGTCCCAGGTGCATGAGCCTGTGACAGGCCAGAAAAGTCACGTTTCCAGCCGAGACGTGTGTGAACTGAGGCCAAGCAACTGCATTAGTTCCACTAACAGCCTCCATTCTTCTTGATTAGAGATAGTGAAAATGTTTCTTTTTTCTGAAGGAAAATTGGTTCTCTGAGAAAATGAGTTTCTCTTTTCTGGTCTCATATGAAGGGCAGTGGTGTTATTTCATACAAGTCCCCCCTGAAGCCTTTGGCAAGCTATCAAGCTATAGATTCCTTTCTTTTTTTTATAGGTTCCTTTCTTTTTTTGGCAGGTCTAGCGTGCGGTCTGATGTCCCTCCTCCTACTACTGAGACACTCCCTGTGCACCTAAAGGACACAGAATATTCCTTTAAAGGGTAAGAGTAGGGTAAATTTAGTGACGCATGCGTAACACTGAGGATTAGGGGAAATCTGCATGGGCAGGCACAGAAAGAGGCTTCTTCTCACAGCTTTAGTCCCAAGGATGAAGGTGACTGCACGGAGGTTTAAAGCACAGCTTGCAGAATAAACCAGAAGTTTGCGTTGTTTCCCTCCACCATCTTTGATATGAGCTGAGCACCTCAGACTTCTTTTCGCCTCTTAGTGGGCTTCAGTCACCACCTTCTCATTTGCTGCTGATCCAGGGCAATGCTGCTGTGATGCTGGGCTGGCAGCAAGGGAGCTGAAAGGCAGCTGCGGTCTGACCGTGGTCCCCAGAGAAAAATCCCAGTGTGGGACAGTGAATGGCAGAGATTGACACGAGGCTCCCCTGGTGAGCAGATGGCATTCACCAGTGCGGGGGTTCTTGTGCCAGCTGTCAAAGATGTAACGGGCCTTTCTTTTGTTGTCAGGTCTGTCCTGGGCTACAAGGAGAGAAGCAGCACCCCAGAGAGCAGATACGCAAGTCCCGAGGTCCCAGCATCCAGCAAGCCTTACTGGAATGAAGAGGCGTAAGGACCTGGGGTGCTTCACCCCGCCTTTGCTAACGTCTTGTCTCTCGTTGCCGAAAGCCTTGGAAATACTCATTGCTCAGGAAATATGGAGCATGAGAACAGCAGCGTAACAAGGGCTGTCTGAGCAGCTCTAAACCGCTCCTCTCTCCAGCATCCCTTGAAGTAGTAAATTTGCTGTCAAGTTCACCGAAGACTGACCACACAGCAAACACATTTAATGTTCCCTGGTTTCTCCCCAGCAGCCCTGAGCCTTGCTGCACAATTCGGCTCTGATCGCCCTCCCCCTCCACCTGTCCTGTGCTTTGGAGTCTGGGCAGAGATGTCTGCAGCATCCTGCACCAGCCCCGGGCTGGGACACGAGAGGGCACCTCCCGCTTCTTCTCCCTTGCCTTCTGCAGGGAGGAGCCCAAGGCACGGAGCCAGATACGAACTGGGGCAGTAGGATAATTGGGATGCCCTCCCATGAGTCCGTTTGCGTGGACTAGTACAGCTTTTTGAGTACTTTTAGATTTTTGCACCCTAGTGCAGAGATGGGAAAGCAACCAGCATTGTGCTGGTCACAGCTTAGCCCTTGGGAGTTCCTCCACCAATGCCTTTTGTCTTCTCATTGTGCGCTGAGCTGAACTTTCAGGTGTTTGTGCCTGGCAGCCACAAGTGGGATTTCTCTTCCTTTGTCAGCTCTTCCCAGGATTTCAAAGAGGGGCGCGCCCCTGTAGAAAGGGGGCACGAGAGCGTGCGGGCCTCCGGTGACTACAGACCAGAGCTGATCCGAGAAGGGTGAGTGGTCACTAGGACTCACCTACAGCATCTTTTCATTCCGTAATTCTTTGTGTCTTATTCTGCTCCCCGGGTAACTGAGGCCACAGAACAGCTCCTCTGCTTTGCACCCAAGAGCAAGGGTTTCCTAATGGCACATTCCAGCCGGCAGTCCCGCTGGAAAAACCAGCTGACTGGGGGAGACATACGGTGCGTGAGAGACAGTTTCTGCGCTGACAGCGTGTGACACGGGTCCCTCAGCATCAGTGCAGATACCTCAGTACCGCAGTGGCAGGTGGTGGCTTCTGCTGCCCAGAGATCTTAGCAAGTACTACCCAGGCCTTTGTGAAGCTTCAGAATCCTGCTTGAGCGTGTCCTGAGGTGGTAGAAGCAGCTGTCGGTCTGAGGAATCCTGACACGAGTGCTTTCTCCTGTGCCGAGCGTTTTCCTTCCGTGACAAACTCGGAGGAAGGGCCGTTAGCTGCGACCCTGCGAGCTAGAGCAGGATCTGCACGCGATTCCCGTCAGATCCGGTGCTGGGGCAGTGTGGAATTGCTCTGGCCAGTGTCTCCTGCTCCCTGCCTAAGGAACGGGTGTCTGCCCATCCCAGCATGGTTCTTCTCTACTGCCTTAAGCACAGTTCTTTATTTTAGGTTTTTGGACTCAAATGACCATACTGAAAAGGGACAAGAACCTCCTGACCATGATGGCCACCCAGAGCTTTCCAGGTCAAAGGAACATACTGAGCTTGAACCCAGCACGACTAGGTAATCTCAGATAATCGCCTGCCTGCTTTTTCCTCTAGTAGGAGGGTTAATCCCTCGTGTGTCTTCCCCCACACACCGAAACTCAACCAGCAGCAAGTCAAGAGTAGGAGCTGCGTCCTCTGTCATCAGCCTTAATGTATCAGGGCAGGGTCTTGGAAAGCATTTTGAGAATTAATTTCTTAGAATCTAATTAAATGCAGTTTTGATGCAGGAATCTAAGCTGGTTTCACGTTTCCTACAGGCTGTTGGTATTCCTGGGGTGGGTGATGTGCACGAACATGCAAAACCAGCTTAATGCAGACAGGTGTAAATCTAGTGGGTCTATCAAGTGGATAAATGCTTCTGAGATGGTCCCCACACGAGGCCAGCTCATGCTCTTAGTGGTCTGATAATCCATAATGGTCATAACTAAAGGACTAGAGTTAAAATGTCAAGTTTGGGAAAAGCAAATAAGTAACTGATACTCATCAGGAGCTTTATTTTTCTTTCAGACTTATTTTTTTAGAGATTTGTCTTTTCCAACTGTGGGGTTCTTGGTTTAGTTTTTTTTTGGGTTTTTTTTTGCGTCTCTCTGGGTTATCGGGCATATTCTCACGCAGGGATATCGTACTTTTCTTGAGGCAGGAGATTGACCAGGGGTTGCACTCACATCCTACCGTAATTCTACATGCAGTGGCACTTCTGCAGACTCTAACGGGTCTTCTGTCTTGGCAGGTCCAGCTCTTTACCCAGAGAAAGCAGCATCACTGCTCCAGAGACCCCGTGTGCAAATGACTGTGACCCCGGCCAGGACAGGTAGGGGCCCAGGCACGCTTTGCTGCTGCCTCGCACGTCTTCTGTGCTCCCCTCAAGTGCTTGTTTCTTGGGTAGTGAATTCAGAAGCCAACACAATCACCGTGTCCCTGCGTTTACTCACCGCATTGGACAGGTTTAGGCACAAGTGCTAAAGCTGCTGACGGGCTTTTTCCTCCCTGACCAGGATCACTCCAGCTTATGAAGAACAAACCCACCCCACGACAGAGAGTCGTCACGAGAGCCGGGGAGACTGGAGACACGACGAGGCCAACACAGTGGCAGCCAGGTATGGTAGAGCTCTCCCTTTGCTTCAAATCCTCATCTTTGCCGTTCCTGCTTCTCGATACAAACCTGGCTGCAGGGCTGGACCTGTGTAAATTTGCCTGGCACGTGCGAATCACATGGTACAGAAGGACTATTAGATTTAGGATTCCACCCACGTAGGCTTGTTCATGTTTCAGTTAACAAATTAACTTAGATATCATGCAGCATGTCGTCGTGCTGGGAATTCAGGTTGTGGAGGTGAGGGGAAGCGGTACAGACCTTTGCCATTCCCCCGACCAGCGTGCTGCTCCAGCTTTTCCTTATTGCCAGTAGAGAGAGGAATGATCCTGCCTTGGCAAATTTTGAACGCGTGCATGAGCTGGTCAGAGCAAATATGGTCAAAGTTGGGTGTAATTCTTTAGCAGGTCTAACTTCAGCTCAGAAGAGAGTGCTCTTGGTGCATATGAGACCCAGCACCCCACACCACTGTACGTGGACCGCCAGCCTTTTAACAGCAGCCTGGCAGCACCCAGCCACAGGATACCATCCTACGTGGACAGCCAGGTGTTCAGCACCACAAGGTAAGGGCTCGGGGACGGGATGCAGAGACAGGAAAAGCTGCTGGCACAGAACTGTTTCACAGAAATTCTGCTCCAGGTTGGACGAGCTCTGAGTCAAGAAGCGAGATCTGGATTTTGTTCCCATGGGTAGCAACAGTATTGCCAGGTCTCACAATTTTTTGGACAGGAAGAAGGGATTCAGGAGATCTGGAAACGGCTCTGTAGTGCTGGAGAGTTCTTGGCAGGTTGTATCCAGACCTCCTGTGTGGTGCCTGGAAGCGTGATGTGTAGAGCCCACATCTGCTGCTCCTCTCTAACTGTAGAGATGTCGATTCAGGAACGTCCTATTTTATTTCTCGTGAGCCTCAGTGACATAAGTGACACTTCATGTCATCTTCATCTCTTTTAGCGTTTTTTGAGAAAGTTGATGTCACAAAGCTCTCGTTTGCTTTTGGGGGCACTTGCAGACCAGGACTAGGAAAAAAAGGGACAGACCTTCGTCGTACTTTGTAGCCTGTCAGCATCCCCGGCACTGTGTGATGCTGACCCATCTCTCTGCAGCGCTAGAAACTCACACTCCGTTCCTGCCCTTGGGTTTATATCACAGACCAAATTCACATCTTGCCCAGAGCAGGTTTTTCCTCCTCTTACGATGAGCTTAGCCTGCCCCTCTTTCTCTCTGTAACGCAGCATTGATCTGCAGTGTTTTTCAGCACTGTTTAACATTAAGTTATACAGTTGCCTGAAGCTTTAATCAGTGCTGATATACAATATAAACATAATCTGTGGCCCCGGGGCACTTGCAAGAAATGAATGACCATAAGCTCTAAGCTCATTCTGTATATTGAAAGAACCTGAGCTCTGCCCACAGGTTAAAGCCATTCCCATAATGAGTTCTGCCTCGGAAAAGCAAAAAGGTCTGACACCCAGATGGGACAGCTGGTCAGCAGCTCACACGTGCAGAGCGTGCTGTGGTGGGTTTTGGGGGTGCTGGGGAAGGGAAAAAAAATTGAAGGTAGATTCGTTTATAATCTGCTTCAGCTTTACTCTCAAGAGTTAGGTTCTGAGAGTGCTTTTCTGGCCTCAGAGCTTTGTACCTGTGCCAGAAGCAGCACAGGTGAAACGGGCAGAGCAAAGGGAGAAGGCATCATGGCTGTGACTGCTGAGACAAGACATTAATTGGCCAATGTGGGGGCTCCGGTGGCTCCTGGTACTGTGTAATCAGGGCTTTGTTCTTCCTCACCAGACCTACCCCAGATTATGAAGGGAGAGTTTATGATGGGAGAAGCAGCCCCAGGAACAGCAGATACGACAGCGCTAGCGCCAGAGGGCACGGGGAGTTTAACCTCACGGCTGGACGGTAAGAAGGAGGGTGGGATCCAGGCTTGTTAGCCCTAAGAACACCCCACAGCCACGTTTATTCAGTATGTAGAGCATCGCTGACCCACTTCTTGCCGATTCATTGGATCTAAGTGCGTGCAGTGAGGTGCTGTGTGCGCGGGTGGCTGTGATGAGTGGGTGGTTTTGACGCGAAGCAGGGAGACGTTTAGCCAAGGTTCTCGCCGCTTGTGAGAATCCCTCATGTGCTCACGTTCAGCGCTTGAGAATTGTATCACTTCCTTTCATAGCCACGACTCCCTTCCCAGAGACACCACCGTGTCCATTTCCCAGAGAAGCCACAGGGTGCCGTTCTACATGGACACCTTAAACTATGACAGTACCAGGTAAATGGGTGGTTGTGAGGGAAACCTCCATGAACCAGTGGTGGCAGAGAAGCTGGGAAGCTGAAAGAGAGAGGAGTTGTCTCTAGGGTCTGAAGGTGTGATTTAGAGGCACAGAACTACTCTTAAACTGTTCCCAGCAAAAGATACCCAGTGCAGGGGCTGCAATTACATCCATCTCTGGAGATTTTTCACCACATGGGGTGCTGGAACAGAGTGACAGGAGAATGGAGTGCTGGTTCCTGGCTACCCCCGTTCACCCCTTTGCAGAGGCTACAGAAGACAAGAGAACTAAAAGCAAAGAGAGATGTCGAGAGAGAGAGGATCACTATCTCCAGAATGTCAATAGTTAAATGACCGAACTGGTCCCAGAACAAGGTTGCTGGAAGGGGTAGGAATATCCTTACCCTGGGCTTTCTGCAGCCCTCTGTGACAGTGTCAGTCCCTCCACGTGTGGTCCGACACCACATGGAGGCCCCAGCGTGGGTCTGAGTGTTGGATCCACAGAGAGGAGCACGTTGTGGGTGTGAACAGGAGGCACAGGACCCTTGAAGCAAGATGAGCTGCAGCCCTGCCAGGCAAACTTCTCAGGCGTCCTTGCTGTGTGGACAGGCAGAGCTGTTTCCCAAAGATGTACCTGTAGTTTTGCCACCTTCCCCCTCTACGGCTTTTGAAATCTCGAAGTGGAAGGATAGTTATTTTGTGGGGATAGTTATTTTGGACTTCGGCCAACATGTCCCCATCTCCTCCTCTCCTCCTTCTTCTCTCGGTAGCTGCTCCCATTCTGGCTGTGTGATGCACTTGCAGTCTGTACCTACGTGAATATCTTGTTAGGTTTCTGCTTTGTGGGTTTTTTTTCTTTTTCTCCCAAGGCCCTATAAATGAGACTTTTTGCAAATCGCTTCTCCAGGGAAGTCATACTGTTATGTGGCAGATGTAAAAAGAGAAAGGAGCCTTTTTGGCCTGTGATAAAGATGAATTAATGTGTATTGCCTAGGGCCCTGATATTGTGCCCTCCCAAACCACGCTCTTCTCTTGGCTGCCACCTTGGATCAGGTCATGGCTCACGTTTACAGTGTCCATGAACTTTTTTGTCTCTCTTGCCAGGTTTCTCTCAAGGTCAAGCGAGAGGATCAGCACTCCAGTTGCCACCTCACCGCACGACGGTCCAGCAGCCTCTGGGTACCAGCCCGACCCCAGCACTGCCGGGTAAAGGCCAAAGGGTGGTCGTGGTCTCCCTGCTGCGATACGGGTTTCTCATGCAGCCCTCCTGTTCGGGGCAGACAAGCCAGGCTTTGCTGCTTGCCAGCTGGGCCACAGCACGTTTCTCAGCCGCTTCTGGCTAAGAGCATGGGCGTTGCCAAGGTGGTCAGAGCCACCCAGAAGGGAGAGGATGGGCTGGATGCTTCTCTCCAGGTGCCCATGAATCTTCCAGAACACCTTATAGCTGGAGAGATGTGATATTGCTCACCTCACGCATGGGGCTCTTGGAAAACTCTTTGTTGTCTGTCATGAGCAAGTGAGCCGTGTACATGCAGCCAGTATATCAGATTTTGGTGGGGCTGGCACTCTCATCTGCAACACTTGACATGGGAAGTGTCTACGCTAAGTTTAGGGGAAAAAAAAAGAGCTTTTCTTCTCTTCCGTTAGCTGTGACACGGCTTAGTTTGCTCACATAAGAAGAGAGGATTAAACATAGCTTATAGGCAGCAGTGAAAATGCACCATGGAGAAAGAGCCTGATTAGTTCATTTCATGGCTCGGGGAAGAGAGCCAGTGGGCACGGCGTCGCCCCTCGCTCTGTGACAGAGCTGTAGACAGACAGATGGGGCCATGTAATTTTGAAAGCAGAATTTTAAAGAGGGAGGAGTATGCAGGGAAGGGTCAGCAAAAACATCCCCAAACAAACCAGCAGCAAGTTATAATGGCTGAAAACGCTGGAGATGTTCCAGGGACAAAGCAGTCGCTGTGAGTAGCGCCGCGCCAGTAGGGCTTTAGCGTTAACGGGCAGAACCACAAGCCCTCTAAATACTTATTGTGTGCATAATCCTGACATGAGTCGAAAAAGACTTATCCTTGCAAAACAGGGGATAACTGGATGAAAGAGTTACATTATCCATCCCATTCTTTTTAATTAACTTGATTTGTTTTGGTGGGTTAATTAGAGGGGTAAATTAGGTGTTATTTAGCAACAATGCTCCATTTTCAGTATGTATGGGAGAACAAGGGCATGTCACTCTGTGCCTCTCTGTGCACGCGTTGCGTGTCCAAGCGCACGCATGTGGTCCCTCGCGATGCCTCTCATTAGCTCCGGTCTCTTTTCTAATGCAAATGCTTCTCCTTCTCTTTCCACCCGCTCCTAGAAAAGGGGTCCTTTTTGTGAAGGAGTATGTGAACAGCAGCGAGAGATCGGCCTCCCCGCGCTACGGCAGGTACGAGGAGCGTGCGAGGACAGTCCCATGTCCACACGCGTGTGCAAAGCGACAGCGCGTGGCTTTGCCAGCCGACACACACCGAGCGAGCTCCCGAGCTGGAAGATAACCCAGGAGGGACTATGACATTGCGGGCAGAGAGTTTTTCTAGGACAGCAGTGCTGCTTTGGGGACCCAGGAGAGTGTCTCTGCAGTCGAGGCAGGTGAAAACCCTGCCCCGCAGTTTTTTAGGCTGCACTTCGGGACTGTCAGGCTTCCCTGCGCATTCACATGCATAACCAGACAACTGGAGTTGGTGAGAGAAATTTGGAGGTTGCAAGTTCTCGCTCAAACAAGTTATTTATGAGTCAGAAGAAGATCCAAGATGCCTTTTTCAAGCTTAAACCTTTGGTCTTCTGTGTTCTGCTCAACGGTAACTAAGTAAAGCTACTCCAGGTTGACACTAATGTGACTGAGAGCAGGATCTGGCCCTGTGTGCATCGTGCTCACACTAGTGTGGCAGCAAGTTAACACCCAGGTTGAAGCTTCCCTGCTGGCATTTGTTCCCCCCAGCACTGATGACACACTCTGTAAATCTCCAGCTGTTCCTACAGGCCAGCAAAGCCGATGTCACCACCAAAGATAAACGTGTTTGTTGCTGCAGCACCTAAAAACCACAGGCAAGCAGGAGGCAGAGAGGGAATGCTCAGTGAGGTGACACTAAGTATGCATTCCCTGTCTTTTCCTGCGTAATAGCTCAGGATTTGGGAGTTTAGCAGCAATGAAAAGAGCTGCTATTTATAGGGTCCATATGTAAACACTGGGGCCCCAGTGAGGCCAGAGAAGTTTTACTGAGGAGTGCACTGGACGCAGGAGTGATGATTAATGGATCCATCTGAGATGCTTATCCCATATATCACTGTTAAGGGCTTGTATTTTCTCCTGACTGCAGTGGCAGCCTTGTGGATTTGACCGATTTGGAGAGAGCAACGTACAGCCACCACAGCTACCTGTCCAGTGCTCCCCTGCAGAGGTAGGATGCTCTGGGGCTGCCTTTGGGGTTTCAAGTTGAAACACAAGTGACTTTAAGGCTTTGCTTTTTTAGAATATTGGTGTGTGTTTGGTGAAATACCAGCATGAAGTGTAAATGATCTTTGGGAAATATGGTGACATTGACCTTAAGGTCTGTACTGCCCTGCTGGGGCTCTGCATCCCCAGGTAACACTTGCCACAAACACGTGTAGAAGCAGGTAGCTCATGGAGAGCAGTGCTGGTGTTGGGTAAGAAACCGCTGGGACCAGTGCTGGGACTGGAACCAGCTCGTGTTACAGAGGAATTCACCTTCTGTTCCTTCACAGGTCCAGCGAACCAGTTTGCAGTTACTGCAGCCGTGAGATCCGAGACTGCCCTAAGATCATAATCCAGCACCTTAACATCTGCTGCCACGAATACTGCTTCAGGGTAAAAAACCCACCACATCTTAATTCACAGAATGGCCTAGGCTGGAAGGGACCTTAGAGACCATCTAATCCAGCCCCCTGCCATGGGCAGGGACGCCTCTCAACCAGCCCAGTTTGCTCCAGGCTCATCCAACCTGGCCTTGAACACCTCCAGGGAGGGGGCAGCCACAACCTCTCTGAGCAATTTATTCCAGAGTGTTGCCACCTAATTAGTGACTGCCTTTGTGCTGCTGTGAAGTGAAGTGGTCAGAGGAGGAATCTTGGTGCAAATTCCATCCTCAGACTTTCAGGGTGTGCCGAGTGCTGGCATCCGCATCACAACAAAGGAAGTTGTGCAGTCACAGACGTTCGTTGTTCAGCTCTTCAAATGAATGTGTATTGGAACAGGAGAATTCTTTATTGTCATCTGATAGAATAGAGGCACCCTCTCTGCTCGTGTCCCTGTCCTTGTGGCAGACTTGCTGCTTTGTGTCTTTTGTGCCCCAGTGCAGCTCTTGCTGAATCTCTCAAACGTTGCAGAGCTTGCAGGTCAGGTCTGTGGAAGGGATGAGTGCAGGAGGAGGGGGGCTGCAGTGGCACCTGTCTGTCATAGAAAAGTTTAGCCTCAAAGGTCACTGCTTTTGGCATCCTCACACCTTTATGAGATGATACCTTTATAAAATGAAACTGTTTCAGCATCCATGCTGTGATCACTGCCTCGTGCTTTGGTTCCTGTCCAACCACCTCATTTTCCCTTTGGCAGTGTGGAATTTGCCACAAAGCAATGGGAGATCTTCTGGACAAAATATTCATCCACCGGGACATTGTCCACTGTGACAAGTGCTATGAGAAACTCTTCTAGGTGAGTGTCCCTTTACAGCATCAGCATAAATGGCTGGATGAGAGAGCTCATGGAGAGCATTTAACCCTCACGTTTAGCGAGTGACCCAAGCAGGCATTGTTCTGGGCCTTTTCAGTGGGAAGCAGTGACCTCTGTTGCAGAATTAGCTGGAAACACGGTCCCGGGGGTCTCGGCTGGAGCCAGAATCTCTGGCCATAATGTGATAAACAGGCTGTGTTTCTCTTCACGTGGGGGAGACAAACAGGGGGCTGGCTTGAGCGATGAGAGCAACGTCCCTTGGAGGCTGGGAGCCTGTTCTGAAGGAAATTAAAGAGTTCCTCCTTGCATCTGTCAACAGATCAACAAGGATATGGTTTTGTTGGATTATCTGGATGGGACAGGAGTCAATCACAGCGGCAACCAGAAGCCCTGCCCTGCGATTATGAGACGAGGTCTCCTTTCCTCCCTCTGCCTCGTGACAGAGAGAAGCAAGGAAAGGGGCACCTGCCTTGCTGCACACGTGGCAGCTTTGTTGGCCTAACACGGTGCGACTGACTCGCCTTTCCCCTCCCGTTCCTCCACGTTCATCTGCTCCACTGACCCCTCTAACGCAGCGTTCCGTGCGGCACCTGGCTCCTGTGCTCACCTTCTCTTCATTTTCTTGCAGGGTTTTGCAAAGCCGGAGAAGGCGGCCGGTGGCAAGTCCTCAGAAGATATCCAGCAGCTCCTGACTGGCTACGATAGCAGAAATCTTGCTCCCCACCCCCTCCTTCCCTCGAGTTATTTTTCCCTCTCACTGCCCGGTCACAATGAATGAGTTTAACGTCCGCTAGTTTTTGCTGTCAGCTGCACAGGTGCCAACGTTAAGGCAGTGTCATCTACAAAGATAAGTGGGCTGATTTTCCAAAGGTGCTGAGCGCCTCCGCTCGTCTTTGACTTCGTTAAGATTCCAGAGTGCTCCCTGGGTTGGAAGTCAGGCAGAGAGCTCCTTAGGCCTCTCTAGGCTGACTGCGAGAAACCTTTTCTGATTGTTTTTACATCTTTTTTTTCCCCCTTTCGTTTCTGCAATCAGGCTGCAGCTTAGCGCATGTGAGCGGGTACAAAGCGAGCAGATACAAGAAGCGTTAAACACTAAATTTGGATTCTTGGGAGGGTTTGAATTTAGTTCTTAGCAAAAGCCTATTTCTGCTTCTCTCACCCCTAAATTCTGCCTCAAAATAGCTTCTGCCTGATTTCTATTTGCTTTCCATAGAAATAGCTTCTGCCTGATTTCTATTTGCTTTCCATGGGCTCTCAGGAGCACTTGCAGACTCACTTTACTCTAATTGTGTGTCAGCTCTAATTTCCCTTTCCTGCCTACTCCCTGGTGGATTGCTGCAGCAGCGTGTGTGGCTGCTCTCTGTTTGGGGAGATAACGCTCACTTTCACTTGGGAGTTTGACTTGGCCTCGGGTGGAAGGTGTCTCCTGGTCATACAAAGTGTGCCAGAGAACAGGTATCTCAATTGCCTCTCCTGACAAAGCACAGGACTGAAATCTGAATTTCCACTCCCCCGCCCCTCGCCAAAGCGTACCGTAATGCCTCTCTCGTCGCTCTAATTTATTTACATCGCAAATGCTCGCTCACAAAACGGCACTTCCAGCAGGTGCTGGGCTTACTGAAAGTCAGAATTGCCTAATTTTAGCCCTTAACTCAGATGCTGAAAGGTTGAGAAAGCTGAATGCCGAAACCTGAAGGTACAGCTCTGACAGAGTTGCCATTTTCTCTCTGAAAGCATTCGGGAGGTCTGCAGAGTGCCCAAGTCAGACGTGTCGTGGCTCTTACAGGGAAATAGGTGATGGCTAAAGCTCTAACGCAGGCTCGTGTTAGCTAGATTTTCCTTTATGCTCTTAGTGATGGAAGCTGGCATGCATGGAAAAGCTTAGCAGGTTAGCATTTTACAGCACAAGTGCTACTTAGCTGCTTTTTTTTTTAGGCCACTGTACCAGTTATTTAACCGAACTGTAGGCATGACCTCAGAAGCAGCTCCACGAGGGGAAGGAACTCCGGTTGAAAGCGATAACAACTCTTAAAGCCGTGCCCGCAAGGAGGGACCGAGCTGCTCCGTTTTGAGCGTGCGTGGTACAAGTGAGGGACCGACAACCCCTGGAAACCTGACAGTCACGAAGGTGTGGGTTTTGAAAGCGGCTGCTGCTTTGCCGTTTCCCAGTTATCGAGATGTTAAAGAGACGTTACTTTCCAACGAGAAGAGGGTCACAAAGCACCTCATCTCCCCCAGCTGCTGGTTTCTGAAAACCACGGCCAGTGGTTCCTCACTGGGCCTTGTGCCAGGGGTGGGGCATGATTGGGACGTGTCTCGTTGTGCCGTGGCCAGAGGGGGATTGTTTAAAACACCGGCACAGCTGGGCCTGGTTTTGAGAAGATGACCTGCAGAAACAACGTATTCCCCCATTCCAGAGTCCCTGACGGGTACGTGGCCAGCTGGGGAACAGGATTTGTCCGTTGTGTGTTTGGCACCGTCTCTGCTCAGCCCCAGGTTTCCCTGTAGCGACTGTTTCCCCTCGGTACGCGGCTCTAATAAAGCGTTTTAGCTCACGTGTTGCACCTCTCACCACGAGCCCTTTCACCCGAGGGTCTGCGTCATTTCCTTTGGCTTCTTGGTGGCAGAAGGGGCATGGCCTGGCAGGAGAGTCACTGCAGGGTTTTTGTTCTGGAGGATGTGGTGACAGAAGAATAAAGGGTAACAGTGAGGAAGGGGCTTCTCAAAGGAGGGGGTGGGTTCGGCAAACCGGCCGGCTGTGAGCCTGGGGGAAATACAGAGAACCTTGATCCACAGCGTGCCTGTGGTCCCTCCTCTGAAAAATGAGGAGTTACATTTTTTGTGTTTCCACGTATTTGTGGAGAAAGGGTCACTCTCCCAGGGGAGGACAAGGTGCTTATGGCACTTGGCCTCGAGGGCTGCTGGCAAACATGGAATTCTCCCCAAAAAGCACCAGAGCCTGCATTCGCCTCCAAGGCATGTGTTTTGGAGGATGTGCAAATAACCATGTCGTGCGAAAATAATCACGTCTTTTCTGTCACCTGCTGAAACCTCGTCCTGAAGAGCCTTCACCGCAGCCCTGGGAGCTCCCGGCTCACCTTTTATTTTTCCTATTTCTTTCCAGGACCAGGCCCCTTTCCCCGCCCAGGAGCAAACCCTCGGTATCTCCTACCACAGGGACGGCGGTGACCGCCC